GCCGTGCGTTCGGGCAAACCGTTAATTATTCGTAAATCAATTTGTGTACTTTTCTTGATTTATTCTGCAGATATAGGTAAAATATAGGTAAGGCTTTGGCGAAATTTGAAAGAGCAACTAATATTCTTCAACCTGGTATTTTTTATAGATTTTAGGTTTCATTCTGATCGTCTGTTTTTTCCAGTTTAAAAAAATATGAGCTGGCTGGAGCCTTCATCCCTTGTCTATTTCTTACACTAGATACCAGTCGATACCCCACCCCCCGCTCATAGGAAGTGCGTACAGTTGATCATAGTTCCTGGGCTCTCTGTGAATGGCGTAGATAGCTTGTCGTGAGCGAGAGAGCATCGATACATGTTTGGTCTTATTCTCACCGTCTTCACGTATACTGCTCGTATTACCATGGTAACAAATTGACAGATATTCGACCACTTACTTGTATAGATGTTCTAATTCCCAAAACCAATGCAATTACATGTTAATACATATAACTGCTAACATGTAGAATATACCTAGAGTCGTACTTAGTAATATTGGGTTGTTTTCGTTAACTTTTATATGGCGTCATACTAAAAAGATCGTATCGTGTTTTCATATATCCCACAGTAATAGAGACAAATGAATGGTAATGAGCTATAATTCTAATTGGTGTGCTCTAAATTGCCTATCCACCTTTGACGATTTGCTTTGACCTATAAACTTCGAAATAACAATTAATAACAAGCGATGTCTTCCATTACATGATCTCTGGTAATTGAACTGAAGTTGTAACACTGTTTAATACGGTAAAATTAAGGATATACTATTATAGAAGATTACTACTTTCGCATATTTCACTGTCGCCTATTCTGGCAAAAGATGTTGTCACCGCATTATTTAGTACACTTGGAAATTCCAAATATTTATTTCCAACAATCGTAAATTCATTTCAATTAGACGTCGCATAATCAGAGATGCGAATTGAAGTAAATATCCGTTTGAACTAAGACGCAGATTACTACACACATATACGAGTGTTCCTATGCAGTGTCCTTATCACCGTCTTGTTAAGTGTGATATCTAGTAGAATCTATACGATTAACATTCATAATAATTTCAAACGATCCAAATCCAGTTTCCGGGTCAGTATGTGAGTTATTGTAAACATGTTTAAACTGGGATTAGCAATAATATATCCATATCCATAATATATACCCCGGTGTAACACAAGATGATTTCATAACACATTTTACCCGTAGGTCAACGATAAAAGTATAACAAGTTTCGATTTTCGTACCTGAGAGAAAGTTGTAGATAATGGGATTGACACCACTGTTAGCGAAGGCCAGCCAATGAGCTATCAGAAAGGGTATATGGAAAGAGCTTCGTGTGTTATGAACCACATCGTCAAAGAACGAAAACTGCCTGCAATTGAAATGAAAATAATAAGTTTGTCAGTGATATTCACAAAGTATAAAAAAAAGTCATTCAAGGTACATTCATTTATATACACTAGCATGTCTTAAATGCAATTACTGGGCCGGATTTGCATATATTAGACTCGAATGAAAAAATCACGATCTCCCATGTTTAACCTCTTCTTACGTAATGTCCCACATCATTTACTTTAATCGCGCTTAGTGCCAAAGATGTCGAATCGTAATTTCGCATGTGATATATACAACTCAAACACTTCTGATAAAGTCTGGCAATATATCGTTTACTATCCCCGTAATAACTTGACACGTAAATCAAAGAAAGGGTTCAATAGTTGGGTTTTTATGGGAATTATATATTCTCTAACAGGAGAGCTGAAAAGTGTATAAAGGCTCTGGAATGGCGGCCTTTATTAATGTGTTTCTCATTAGATTCGTGTTATATCTTGATGTCAAATGCTTGTCATCAACATCCTGGATTGGAATTTAGCCTGTGGATGCATCAGACAGGTTAGGTTGTATTATATAATCATCTGTGTACGAGATGCCATCACAAATGCGTGTTGTTAGTTTGCGATCTTAGATATAGCAAGGTAATAGAAAATGTGTTTTTTTAGTAAAGACAGTTGTGTCAAAGTCCATAATAATAATCAAAATAGGCGTGAATACTTGTATTTTCTGCATGGTACCTCAACGCGTACACAACTGATGAATGCATATTTATGTTATACTTACTGCAATTAGGGATGTTAATATCACACACATTTTTAATGAATTTAACAAAGGACATCATTTAGGCGTGAAACCAAATCCATCAGTTGCGTAAAAACGAATTATGCAAATTAGAAAATTAGTATACATATAGCGTTTATTGAAACGAAGCCTCGCAACATCCGATTGTTGTGTGTCCTTAATTGGTGAATAATTGTTTGAAATTTACCGTGCATCAATTATGTGTTGGTATGTTTGAAATGCCAGTTTTTCAGTTTAGTTGCATCATCAGTTAAAATGTAGACAAGCGAGTATTTCTAATCTTAACAAAATGTGATATTAATATTTAAAGAAGGGGAAATATCAAAACACAACACGTGGATCAGAACGCAGTCGGAGTTGTTCGTCCACAGACAGTCTAGAAGAATGGTTTACCAGTAATAGAAACAATACAAGTGGTGATGGAAAAGTCCTGAATTATGGACAGCGGCTAATTAAAAATGCAAGAAATACTGCGTAAATGTGCGCCTTCGTTTGTTTTATATTTGTGTTAGGCATACTTGTACTGATTTATTCTGGCTTTCTTTGAATATAAAACCCGAATTATAGATCTAGTAAATACTTTCTACTCTATTATTTATGCTTTCGGAAATATAGCTGACATAATTTATTCTTATACAACACCAATCGTGATTTATTCTTCTAACATTCCGAGGTTTCAAGCAATCATGGAATTAACCTAATGTATTTTACATCTGCGGACGCCGCTATATCACTCAGTTAGAAGAATGGTTAGTTAGTAATTGAACCAGACACTAAAACTATCGTCAATTTTACGTTAATTGGGGTCTCGTGTTCGTGTCATTGCACGCATTATCGAATCAACATACCTTAATATATTGAGTAGGTGAAGAGGCAAATAACAAATGGTAAATATGACAACCACTATAATCAACATCTTAGCCACCTTTCTTCGAGACTTCAATTGACTCTCCGATGCTTTTGTGCTCACGTGGCTATTTCCATTCGAGGCGTTCTTTTTGCTGTCACATGATTCGTATGAGCCTGGTATTTTGGCCCACAATTGGCGACAAATGAAAACGTACGCTATGATGATCATAACCAAAGGAATTACATATATCACCAGTACAAGAGCTATATGGTACACTTTTTGTTGAATCGAACCGAACCAGTTGCGCTGGAATAAAATCAATACAAGAAAATAACATTGGATGAGACAGTGTTTTTTATAGAATTATTCAGTTTCTGCAAATTACATATGACTGGTCATATATTGGTATGCGGTGAATCACGAGGATATGGTATTATTCCTGAGCATGCGTACAGTTACAACGATGATGACGCCGCTTTATATAAAGTTGTTCACAAGACATTGCGTCATTTTGTTTTGTTTTATAAATATGCATTATATTTTGGTCAGGGGAAAATATATGAGATAATACTACCCATAATAACTAGTACGAGTTGGGAACATATAAACACGCAACACGCACGGGACTCGAACTCGCGACCACGGCAAAGACCTCACTATGCCACACACAAAAAAAGATAGCACCAAATGTAATGAACAAGGGCTTACTGGCTTACAATGTTTAGATGGGCATGTGCAAGTTAAATTTCTGAAGTCACAAATCCGTACCGATTTCACCTCGAAATATATTTTTAGCTCCTATGCTATCAAATACGCGATGGTGTCGATTTCGAATGCAAAACTGGCGTTGCTTAATTTCCGGTCATGACGATTATGCAATTTCAGCACCCAGCTTCAGTTTTCTACCGATTTCACCACGGAATGTGTTTTTAAATTCTCAAGTTCCAACGGTAGCATACACGCGAGGGTGTTGATCTCGAAAAGCCAAACTGGCGTCACTGTTTTTTCCGGTCTTAAAGAATATGCAATTTCAGTGCCCAGCTTAAGTTTTGTACCACACATGTTGCATCGAGGGCAATTTGCATTTCAAAGTTTGCGAAATCCTCTCAAATTATAGGATACGTATTTCTTTCCATACGCTCGGATGAAGCTAGCTATCATGTACATGTGCGAAATAACGATGTACATTTGAATATCCAAGATATGCAACGGCCAGTGATTTGCAAGAAATTGCAGCAAACGGACTCATATAAAACTGTGTATGGAATCACTCCACTTATTTTCGCACGCACCCTGTAAAAGTTGCGAACTGGAACATCGTCTATTACATAATAATTATTATTATTATTATTTAAAAAGAACATTGTGAGTTTTGAAATATATATATATATCATCGGATATGACTAGGCTGAACAACGTTACTTCTTGTTGATGGTTTTAGACAGTGAGCCAATCATCCAGTTTTATTCAGACAATGGCAATTCTGGGGATCTGTCAGGCAGCATAACAAGCCTTATGTTTACCTCAAAACACTTCGTCAGGTAAATGTAATTCTTCGTATATATTGGTCGCTCCGTTTCATAAACCACTGCCTGTGGAATGGGTACCAAAAAGGAGGTTATCCAGATGGAGAATATCACAGTTATGGCTCGCTTTGCGGTACTCTTAAACATCAGCGGATGGCAGATGGCGAAGTATCGGTCCACGGCTATTGCGCAAAGCGTAAGAACGGACACGCTCATGGAAACGACCTGCAAGACAACAATGGAAGGGAGATAATTCACATAACTACCGGCAATGGTAATTCAATCTGGCTTCAGTGATCTAGATCTATTATGTGTCCAGTGTAGCAATAACCGCTTCCATAGCTAGAAGCAGCATATACTACGGAACCGGGCAATCACGGTCCCTGCTCTGTATATCTCGAAACAGCCGGCGAAGTTGAACGACGAACCCTGAGGCAGTTCGTCAATTAAACATAAAACGTTACGTCACGGTTGATGTGACAAATTGAAATGCATGGAAACGTAAGAGGTTCTATTTGGGGAAAATGTCACCAGTTTTGCCTCGGTTACAATTATATTTCGAAATATAACGAGTTAACGAGAAACACAATTTAGTTGACGATTTAACGTTTGAAATACGCAGGATGTCGATTTCAACTAAACATATAATTCGCAGTTATTCAAATCAAATCAAAATTGTGAAGAGGTTTTGCAGGTTATAATAATAAAAAGCATTATATATTAGCCGACGGTCGAGAATACGTGCTTCTTGTGTAACCGCTGAAATATATATTATATATTGCACCTCCATGTGTAAGCAACTCATATCGCACGCATACCCGCGTGTCACAAATTCATCCACTTCAATTCAATGGTTTCAATTTATACTTTCTTGAAAAAGTAGTTCGGCACCCGGATACTAGTACACGAAATGGCTGATTGGCGGCCACGGCACGTTTGTCACACAGTGCAAATGCATCAATTTCCAATTAGCTTTTTTTTAGAGAGACACCTTTGGACTTTTAGAAACAGCCATTAATTGCGTCAAAATTTCTGCATTATCGCGTTCTGTATTGGTTAGGGGCTACAGGTAGATTGTGTAATTGACCAGTGGGAGCACGCAAATGGAGCATAATTATTCAACACCGAGGTCATTATTGAGCCGTGTCCACAATAATGAACTATTATCGAGACATCGAGTTTCGTAAGGAGGATAATCATCTGACGGCGACGTCACAGGAAGCTGTAGGAGATAGTGCAGTATGATAAAAATGCATTTAAGGTAATCATGACTGTGACAAATAGCGAGTGGACAGTTCCAACCGCGTTTATTAAACAACTATAGCGTAGAGACGTCAATAACATATCAACGTATCAAGTAGTGCATATAAATTGCTTCAGATTTCCCCTGCGTTTTGTCGGCTGAAATAATCTCTTACAGGTTCAACTGATGATGTCTTCTGCGCCTTTTGTGAATTCACATTAAAACACGCGGTCCGCGGCATTCAGTCCGTGGTCGAAACATACATAGATAAAAACCGTAATCCGATGCCAATTGCGGGATAGAAACAGAACTGTTTTGTACTATTTTGTAATTACTATATTACGTTACATTATCTTTTTTTCACGGTTTCGGGTCAGAAAGGTTGAGTTTTGTAAATGATTCTCGTGTGATCGTGGTGGTGTATTAGAGGTGGTTACGATTCTCGCGTAATCATGGTGAATTATTGAGTGTTGTGAATAATTCTCGCGTGATCATGGTGGATTATTTAGTGTTGTGAATGACTCTCGCGTTATCATGGGGGATTATTTAGTGTTGTGAATAATTCTCGCGTGATCATGGTGGATTATTTAGTGTTGTGAATGACTCTCGCGTTATCATGGTGGATTATTTAGTGTTGTAAATGATTATCGCGTGATCATGGTGCATTATTTAGTGTTGCGAATGACTCTCGCGTTATCATGGTGGATTATTTAGTGTTGTAAATGATTCTCGCGTGATCATGATGGTGTATGTATTAGAGGCTGTTTCGATTCTCGCTTGACGATGATGGATTATTTAAGGGTGTCGTTCGTGATTCTCGCGAGATCGTCGTGGTATATTGCGAGTTGTCATACTTCTCGGCTTATTGTACCAGTGCAATGTGGGTTGAATTGAGAAGTATTGCGTGGTGATGGTAGGTGATAGACGTTAACATTGTCACGTGATCGTGTCCAGTTATAGAACAAATATATTTTACTGCTCTGAGCATTTGAAATGATTTCTCAATATTGGAATGTTATGTTCAAACAGGCACCTAAAAAAATCAATTCATTACCTTTAGTTTAACTAGTAGCATGAACACACGTAAACAAATTGAATTGAATGTAGGCGAAAAATGAGTATATGCTTTTGAGTTTTGTGGCAAGTAAGTTCATGGGACGATATGGTAAGTAAGAATTGGTGGTCTAATATAAGTACATCATGCCAATAAAACATAAAACAAAGATAGTCGAACATACCTGAAAATAAGGAATCAGTTTACAGGCCAGGTTCCCGAAAAACCACGTTTCCGATGTCTCAAACACCACAGTGATCGGCAAACAAATTAGGGACACGAGGATATCGGCGATGGACAAGTTCAATATGTAATAATTCGTCACTGTTCTCATCTGTGGGTTTCTCAGCACGGCATAACACACCAGAACATTGCCACCCAGCGCCAGAATGAACACCAAGAAATACGCTGAAATGAGAACCCATTCGTGCGTTACCGGGAAAACAAAGTTTCGAAGATTATTTACAAATCTGGCTTCGTAATTGTCCCAATCGTAGGAATAATCAATGTCGGTGTCATTTATTACACAAGGAGACGTGGACGAGTTGGTGAGATTCCCGGGAGTGCAGAGTTTAGTTTCCATTGTTCGACAACGTGGCGGTGCTGTCACTTTCTGTGATTTTGAATAACAACGTAGTCGTTCCGTCACCACCAGTATATAAATACGTCAGCTCTACTGGTCAAATAAACATATGTGTTAGATATTAATAGTAAACAAACTTAATTTAATACAACCCAAAAAATTACTACTAGAATAATTTCCATGGACCCTTTCCATTAATACTTTGCCGGCAACATTTTCTCATTAGAATTAACGTAACAATAATTCACAAAATAACCACCTTTCCAATCATATCAGAATAAATTAAGTCTTAATAGAAATGTAATTTACTTGTTTCTACTCCGTTGCAGAAATTGGAAGCCGATTCGATCAATAATAAAGGCGTCAACAAAGCAAGCTTTCTTTTGCAAGTAAATTGATGTCTGTCTCTCTCGGCTTTCACTTCATTGATTTGATTGCTTCATTTTGCTGGATAATCCACGGTCAGGGGCTATCTTTGTCGGAAAGGCGTATATTCTTTATTTAAGTGTTTCTTACAATGATGTTTACCGCGGAATAGGGTACTATATCTTTCATCGGATCAAGCGCAACATATAAAGTACTGCCAGACCGCTAACAAGTTGTTAAATCTAGACCCCACTACTCCCCTCAGCACAACTTTGATGCATTTCATCATTTATCACCGAGACTGCGTCAATTTCGTGCCGACATTTAATTACTTCTCAATAACGAATCTACGAATCTAAATTAAATAGAATTAGTTGTTCAAATCCATTATCATTCCCGTCTCGAATAAACACAATGTGAAGATAACGTTTTTTTGTTATTATCTTCGCGACTGTTAAGTAACATAAACCTCCAGATGGAAATAAGTCTGTCTGACGAATGACTCACGAGGTTGTAGTCAATCGCGTCTTTACGATTAACACGTTTGTTTTGCCACGAGGTTAGTTAATAAGTCTGGTATATAGTATTTGAAACAGAGAAAGTGTCACGTTAAAATAACATTCCATTAAATCGTTAATTGATTAACACCTCCGAATTTACTGTAGACGATCCTTCGTTGCATGCCGTTCATTACTGAAATGAATTTTTTATATGGGGCATCGCACTCTGTATGACTAGACACTGCTTAGTTACCGTGTATGCAATTTGTGGGTTGCATTGTCCAGTGGTCAATTAGTATAATGCATTATAACGTCATCAGTTCTCATCTCTCGTACTATTTGTTGTCACAGTAAATGACGTGGATACGCGACATGTGATCAATTTGTAGTAAATCATTCATTCTCTCGGCATACTTTCTATATGTTAACCATGTGTATTGGGTAGAAGTCATTTGAAGAAACAGAAAATGATCTGGAATAACCAACAGTGATTCGACAAAACATGATGACTTGTGATGTTCATCAGAAATCATTTTTTTAATGTTAACTTACCCATTAAAATGATAAAAAAAACTATTTGAGTGTCCTGACAAAAAGAAAATTTACAAAGATGTAATGAACAACAAGCTGAAGATTCAATATTAATTAAGCTCAGATACGTTGGAAAACGAACAAGCAGCTGTCTGGAAACTATGTTTGTTATGTTCGTAGAGGTTCGGGGGATTTTTTTCAGACCACGGGTGGGTGGATATAGAATAGGTGGATAAGAGTTAGTAACTTCGAATACTTGTAGTATTAGCAACATGAAAGGCAAAACCAATTAGCCTGATAAAATATTGGAACACCGACTGATATGGTATCCAAATATTCTAATCATAGGTGCAGTTCAATTGTCTGCTCAGACCAGGTTGTTCATTTCCCCGTTTATTGAATGTTGTCACAGATCCACATAGATTCCATTCGGTAACATTTAATTTACGATTTACCTATGACTATATACCAGTTCGTATTTAAGTTATGTAACAAAAATAAAAAAAAACATTTTTTACATTTATAACGCCAGTAAAAATAAACGTATCATATAATTCGAATAAAATTATAATTCTATAAAAAAGAAATGATAAGGTACGCTTGTGAGTGATATTCAAATGAATACAGTTGTAGTTGAAATGGTATTTAAAAAAATCATCCCGAGTAAAAAAACCTAATTTGTATTAGTCTCCGAGGAACGGTCAGTATCGTCGATGTTAAAAATATCTTTTCATTGAGATGATAAGTATTGGAAAGAAAACTTGTTTTTTGGTGTCTTTGGCATAGGTCGTGAAAATTGTTGTGGAATGATTTAACTATAATTGTCATTTGAGATCATTGAGTCAAATTCAAGTTTTGCAACTAATAAGCGTATATTACATGATACACTGCATGTTGGGGGGGGGGGGGGTATCCGGCATATAATGGGCAAAACTAATTTCATTAGATTGAAAATAAGATACATTTTTAAAACTTTATTTTATATAGTACATTAATTAAGTTATGTGTGCTCCCTCTAAGAAATGTTAGATATGATGACATTTCAGTTTAAAAGTCAATATTAAAAATAGTTTTCACTTAATCCATACTAATGCAGAAATTTAATAGTCAAAATATGGTCTGCTTTCCTTCTAAAAATAACATTTTCATTCAAAAATATCATTAAGAAGTACGGAGACGATTTCAAAACCTCCTTAATGAAATGTTATTTTTTGTCATCAAATATACTTGAAAAAATGAATAATACGCATGGACACATAGCGCGTGCTAGATGATCACATTAACGAACAACAAAGCAATTTTCTGAGCAACCCGTGTCTCTGTTCAAACGAAAATCAGAGTGCGTAAAAGAGGAGTCGCGATCCGTTCTATATTCTGTATTCAAAACCTCAATACACAATGAAAAGAAGCGTTTTACAGAACTGTCGATAAATCATTAGGGACCAAAAGGCATATAACAAAAAATAGGGAAACATGTTTTGTTAGCCACGATGAATTAAATTACGTATGTTGATGTTATCGCTTCTTGCTTGGCAGCGCGCAGTAATCAGTTGTGACATTTGTTCTGCGCATTAGATGATTTATTCTATATTGTAAAGAAACAACTCATTTGTTTTCAATTTAGTTGATAAGATAGTATAGTTTAGGCTTTACGTGGAGCAGATAAAATGCTCCGGAATGGATCCAGGCATAGATCAATGTTTCTCGTATTGTTAAAAGCGATGAATCGATAGTGAGTGAAAAAAACACCTCGATGAAATGTCATTTCGCAGCTCGAGGCATGAATACCAAGCACCTACCTACAAGAAGGAAGTACTTGATCTAACAGTTTTTACTTCTCTTACATTGATGTCAAGCACACGCTGCTTCCTCTGTATTGAGTCGCTTCAGGCGCAAAAAAAAAATCTTTATGATATTATTTATTGTTGAATCAGATATTTTCGTTTGAATTTAAGTTAGCGATTAACACCGAGTCACATCACTGAACAAACTGCGTCCAATGCCGCTAGATGCATCCAGTGAATACGTGACTCCTAGATCAGTTGATCAACGTTGATATGCGAGGTATGTAAAAACTGTATACTCTCAACTCCCATAGATTTCTCGACTTGAGATCAATTTTAATCCATCAAACAAGCTACCTGTAATTCTTAAACTGACTCGTCGTCATGGATATGTTGATTGTGGCGAAACTAAATTGTACACTTGCTGCGTATTGTATGTCGGTTTCAAAGTAGGAGCTGGACTCCTGATTGGCTGCGTTTGCCCTTCCGTTTGGCGCATCAAGACCAAGCATGTTGAAAATAGAAATGATACTGATGCGCCTGTAGGGACGATAAACCAAATAACTCGTATAAATGATGACACGGGTATTCCGGTTCACGACAGAATAATATCAGTGTCAACTTCACAGAACAAAAACTTTACTGACTCATTATTTGTACGTCCTTATGATAAAAATGCGAAGCACGTAAGGGGTGACTTATATAACAGATGTTGTTGAAAGCGATTTTGTATTTTTCCGCTGAGTGATATTGGATACGTATACATTTACTTTGTCATTTCACATTTGAATGATTGGAAAGCTAACGAGTTGCATATGTGTTGGTTTGGTCGCTAATGATTCAGAAATTCCAGCAATCACTTTCGTTCACTGATTGATGCATGATTGTACATGATATAATGTATTGTTTATAATGTTATGTTTAACCTTTCATGAACTGAATGCTAACGTTAAATACACTTAGATTGCGCTCACCAGAACGGAATGTGCCCGGGAATACATGACAATTCCAAACAACAACACAACTTTTTGCAACTTTTCAAAATCAACTTTTGGTATTAATCAAACCGAGAGGAATATCCAATTATGTGAAATGTACACATCTGTTGTTTGTACGTCGTGTATTATATATATGTCTTGCGAGACACCGCGACTCACACAATGACTGTTTACAAAAACGTAGTAACCAATAGTGATTAGAACGCGAAAGAGTTGAGTCTGACCGTACAACAAAACAGCGTAAGTGGAAAACAGGTGACAGCAGCCTGTAAATATTCCAATTTTCAACAACCCGGAATGATTCAGAGAACCTGTCTTGGTTGATACCAACTTTAATCGAGAGTCATAGCATTATCCGCATTCCGCAAAAATAACAGTTTCTTTATTCGGTGAAGGGAAATATATATTCATATATGACGCCGTTTCGCTGAAATTGACAATCAACTGTATAAAGAAAGAAATCCCCATATCCCATGCATCGATTGACGTCCGTATAATACGTTGGTGTAATATATGACTGCCAGGAAATTCCCCTATGCATTGAATTATTTTAAATACAATAAATGTGAGAATGTCGATTCGGTACCCGAGTTCGTCGCATACCGTTGGGCAAACACAACGGAATATATACAAAGTTTCATTAAAGGTGCATTAAATATTATAAATAAATAAATATCATTATAATCCTCGTTGTCATAGCAGCGGAACTCGCCTCTGATAACGAATCCTACTCAGTTGTGTTATTTTCCGTGTTAATAGAAGAGTGCTACCTACGTTGACCACTCGATATGTGTACATCCGCACTGCAGGACGACGGGTTATCTTGAAATCTCCCTCAGCGACATTTCAAATTGATATAGATCCAGCTATGATTGTACATTGCTTGAATGTGCCTCTCAAACTAGACACTTAATGAAGTAACAGATAAGATAATAATTCACTGTTAAATAGATATATAATATAGGATGAGTCGTTCGTTTTTAGTTAACTTTATTTTCTAAAAATGTGTATATGTATTACGTCTCTCTAGCGTAATAACCAGCATTAGTGCCACTTCAAAACGTCCATGCGTGTACTCTGGTGAAAATATTGTAAACGTAATTATTACTTAAATTGGTTCTTCTCTCATATTGTTAAGTTCAAATAAACCTATATAAAATTCCGCCAAGATCTATTCGTTCAAATTTGGTTGAACCTACCCTTAGATGTGATTATAAAGAAACGAATATTTAAGTGTTGCACAGCGTATATGTATGGTTAAATCATTTCATTTCTGGCAATTGACAACAAACTGCAGTCGTTAGAACAGTGACATCACCCGTATATACGCTATAACGTGTTAGCAATTGCTTTTTATTCATGTAATGTTAATTCCACAACTCAATTAAACATCATTTATCTATGTTGGATTGGGGATAAATTTCAGAGCCCCTCATGCTTAAATGTGAAACGTAATTTGTTATACACATTTACTGGTTTCGAATTGGAGCAGTTTGAACGTATTAACCCAAAATATGAACGTTAGTTTTAAGGTGAAAGGGATTTAGTCAATAATATCAATATACACTGTTTCAAGTACAGGTCACAATGCTTTTTATTTGTTTATTCAAATATTCTGTTATCTTTCTAACAATAAAAACATTGTAAGTGACAAACAGTTTCACTGAGGGTTTCACACTGACCGTTTGTTTCCATGTTGTGACTTGGTATCTGTATTATCAAGGTAATTTATAGACGTTGTACTTTTACTATTAGATTTGAAGTCTACACGTCACTACAAGTGTGTATCATCCCCTGGCGACCACTTTCTTAGTCGTCTATTGACATTTTCAACAACACTGACTCGTCGTACACGATATTTTATAAACGTTTTCGACATCACTGTCAGCACTTACATAGGTTAAAATGACATGAACTTAGGTTGACAGACAAACCGTCCGATTTGCGTGTAGATACCATTGGTTTGTATAACGGAACATCGAGTTAATTGATAGCCGTCAAGTTTTAATTAAACCAAATTCTCTGATAATATCATGTGTGTATGACTAGGGGAACTTGCAATAGGGCAACTGTACACGTTCCATTGAATCAATGAATTGAAACGCAACAATACGTGTTTACTTATTTAAGCATTTAAATAGTAATACAATTCCTTCGGTTTATTAATGAACAAAACGTTAACTTCGAGGGTGAATATATGAGTGAAATTATAAGTATATTTGTCCGCCACTTTTCAATAACTGTTATTGGGGGAAGTGGGTTATCATGTTTCTACGGAGCTTTTTTTAATATTGCTTTGTAACCAAATCAACGTTATCGACTTCCTCACGGTATTGCAATATTACGCTAGAGGAAAGTACGCATTACGTTCCCAATAATAGACGAATACAGACATTATTTACTTTCTTTTCATGACAACTCTACTTAGGTTTTAGGTGGTGTAAACCTAATATGTTGACGACTCCTGTTTGTTTGCATAGAATTTTCTCCCAATATATTTCCAGAACCCCGTCCAAACGGGGGCAGCACCAATGGCGCGCTGTGCATGTGTACCGAGTTTCGCGACTACGTTTGGATCATAAGGACTGATAGCAAATATGCTGGTCATGTGACCTTCTCGGTTACATCTCAGTAACGGATTACACACGAATACAGATGGGAATATAATAATTATAGAGAGCGGCATACCAACAATTTTCAGTCGGCGTGAGTTATAAAGCAATCATTAGTTAACGATCTGAATGTCCAAGCGCACATTCCGGGAGGGTGTTGTTGTTCGTTTTCTATCACGGTAAGGTACACGTACTTTACGACCGTTCGCCGTATGAAATAGCATGCAATGAATCTGTCCCAGATGTTTCATCAGTTTTAATATTCATGCCAACTGGCCATCGAATAAAGTGTCATGTGTAATTTTAATAAATGCGTTGCTTGAATTTATTTCGCTTACTATTCTCCCGTAAAAACTCCGAGTACCGTTCATATCACACCGGCAGCTATCTTAAATGGCTCTCTATCCCTATCCCGTTATTGTGCAGTAATGGTATGTGTACCAACACATACGCGTTGCGAAGAATATATCGTTTGATCTGACCCAGGATCCAGGAGTGTGTTTATTTTTGATTAGCAATAAAGGCAGAAAAAAGGATTACCAAATGAATGTTATTCGAAATTACATGTTGGGAGTGATTGCATGGTAGTAATAATCGCAGTCATCTAACGCCAAGTTTCATCAAGATGTGATGGAGGCGTTATTGGTGGCCTCACAGCCGTGTAACACAAAAGTGTCTTGATAGTCTTAATTTTGGAACATACCAAGCTATAAAAATGCAGTTTATTGTTTTCTACCAACTATGTATTTACATCCAAGAATTACATGGAACATCGTCTGTAAAAATGGCAGTGAAATTGAAAGAATCAACCGAGAAAACCATCGCAACATAACGTAATACCTCTCACCTTGTTGTCTACTTAAAGTTTGAGTCGAATGTCCTCGGCAGCTGTTCGTCCTCAATCACTCGGTAGTATAGGCTCATTTGCGCTTCAGCGTTCTCAACTTGCTCCAAGAAGCTGCCAGTCAACGCCCGAACCGCTCGAAATAAGATATTGAGGAGGGATATTGAAGAAGACTCAATAAGCTGCCTGGCTGTTTTATTGGATGTATATACTTCTTCAAACTCGATTAATAAAACCATCAACCCCCACGAAGCTGTGTGATTGGAGGAAAACGAAATCCGCTATGACTCCTTAACGCGGTGTATACGAACCACATAGCTTGGCAGGATTTCTGCCCGACTGACAAACAATCAGGAATCTATAGCCTTGCGTAAATAATGCCGTATATTAATTAAAAATCAAAGAATTGCAGACGTGTTCCCACCACTTAGTTGCCATCATTCCTACGGCAATATTGATCTCCGTAAAGACGGTAGATTGTCCTTCTCAGGGAAATCACGATAACTAGAAGAAAGATATGAATGACCAATTGACCCCAAATTGCAACTGGTTCTATTTTAGGAAACTGAAAACGGTTATTGGGTGTAAGGCTAATCGCACAATCATTGAGCTTGATAAAACTATGCCCGCTGGAGATTCAACAAAGAGTGTATATAGTCGATTCCCATTGTCTTCATCTATATAGATCAAAGAGCAGGTTTAAGGTGTTGAAAAGAAAGATTACGTAATTTACGTTGACTGCACGTCTTAGTATGCAGAACGCATGCTCGCCAAAATGAAATTCTCAATTTCAATATACTGAAGAAATACTGGTAAATATACGACTTATTTAAATCAGAATAAGCAGGGACAGTAAGTGAACGGAAACTGCATCCGTTTCGAATAACTGCTTTACTCTAGGGCATCAGTAACTATGAGCGTATTTGTTATCACGTGACAATTTGATTCGTTGCCTTTCCATTATTCACAAATTCGGCGACAAAGGCTGTTTATCGGATCCCTGCCAAATGAAAAGTGCTTTCGAACGTGTCGAAACGTGTACCGAATAATAGTAGAGTTTTATAATATAAACATAAAGAGCAGCTGAGTTGATAGCATCCGGGCTCAGTTTTACTTTTATATGGTTTCCAGAATCTCCAGCAGCGGGGCAGTCTCCCGCCAGAGCCGCATCAGTCACCACTTGCAATCCATCTCCTAGCAACGTTGTTGTTCATTCAGCCATGGAGCGTTTAGGTCTTAATGTCTCAAGTCAAAATACTTACATGCTATACAATTACACCATTGGTTGTGTGTTTTATTCAGCGAGGGCACCATGGGGAATTGAAGCGTATTGAATATATGTCTAAACAGAGGCAAGTTTATTTATCCTACATACCAGGCATTATTGCCATACACATTGAACCTCCGCAACACGTAGCCTAATCGGCGACGTCAGTCACGGAGGTAAATAGAATAATTAGCGTAACGTACACAATTGGAAACTTCCTTAAACACATAAGACTTGGAGATATCGTAGTAACACATCTCAGTAACCCCAGCTTTGTTGAATCCCAAAAGTCTACATCGCGATTATACGTGCACTTAAGAACCACTTGAGCAGTGACAGAATCACACAAGTGAAAGCATTGCTATTCATTGGGGTGCCTTTTTTACAGGGACGTCGGGTTCACCCTTCTTAATGAACCAGTAGACAGGCGTGTTCAGTACACAATCATGCGTGCAGAGATCATCGTCAAAATTCTGGAAGATCGTGAGGTTATATGGCAAAGAGTTTTGGGTACGATTTCTACAAATTTACGCCTTCGGGGGTCAGAGTTGCATAATATAATGGGGCACGCATCAGTGCGATACTGGTGCAAATCAACAAACGATCTCAGAACACGGAGCGTTGTTTTTAACTCGAATACATCGAATCGTGTTTGGTATGTACCGATGCTGCGGTGGGTGGTCTGTGTGAAACACCTAAGGCAATATTGTTTTTATGTCATGGTGCTTACACCTCGGGGAATATGCGGTGCACATGTGTCGTAATAACGTGTACATGTGCAAACAAATACACGAATATTCCAACGTGGAATATACGGGCAAACTCGCGATCGGTGGAAACGGAAGCAACGATAATGAGTTCAGTGGAATTCACTTTTATCTTAATTACAATCAAAATTAATTGATGTATTAATTACATTTGATTGCACAACATGCAATAACTGGATTTGGTATTGCAATTAATAATCTACTGTTAGAGAAGTGTTATATAACAAGACGTAAATCATAATACGTCATCATAAAACAATAATTAGTAAGGTAGCGAGTCAAAAACTGCGACGTTTCTGGATTTGAGATCCGATGCGCGCGCGGAGACATGTAATGATAACTTAAGCGATTGAAAGTATGCAGAGTGATAATAAGTGCCGTTCGACTGAAAACCCAGTTTATAACATCCCGTACTCTAATGTAATCACAATGTAACATCATAGTTAAGCGCGCATTCTGATATTTTCAATATACACTGTCAAATTGATAAATAGGGATATGGCCAGAAGTCATCGTTCATTAAAATCTTGATACTAATTATTGTACAATTTATCGTTGCTCGAAGTAATCGGAGATGTCCAACTGTTTACATATACGTGAGGAAAATAGTCGAGTTTTGATCGCCCGAGTCACGGGGTGTGACAACGTGCAAATATCTTGGTACCGTTAGTTGGGGTTTAAGTCATTTTATCGTATCGAAGAAATCAACCTTATTCTGTCACGTTTCTATTACCTTGTAACATATCACCTAGCCGTGTGTTGAATACACAAGCACGTTATTCTGAAAATACATGCGGGACGAGTTAAAAGTGTGCACTTGTTTAATAAGGTTACTAATGAATTATATATGTGGTGATAAAGTTTAATGTTCACATGTGAGGTTATACCGGCTATCTAAAATTAGCGAATATAAAAAAAAAGAACGAGTGTGGGAAATTATAATTTGTAACGTCAAATCACAATCACTTATCAGAAAAGGAATTTGCTTACCAAGTACATACAAGCTTATCTGTTAATTTGCAGCAACGCGTCGATGACAACAAACGTTAAATAAATGCACAAGATATCGTTTTGTTGATTACATAAAACGCGGAATTCACATGCATGACATGATTTTCGCATCCGGTTTCTGTCTAATTATGTCCAGAGGGGCCCTAACACTTCCTTGCTCTGTCAAACGTGCCGTATAATGCCTCTGTGTTTTACATAATCTATCGGCCAAGATAATGTCATGTGACAACGTTTAAGAAGGGGTTCTCTCCACAAACAATGTATTGTTGGCACTCCATTATGTAGCCAAATTTCAAAACAGCGCTCCAAGTCGATGTAAGTTTCAAAAATAATGATTGTTTATCATTTATAACTTAAAATCACTTTAACCTTGAAACAAATGGTAATGACACCATATGGGAATAAAAAACCTTCTGGAGTAGTGAAATGAACACGATCATGTGTCCTTGAAGTACCTATCCAAAACCACACACTGTAAACGCAATAATTCCCCACCGTGTTTTAATTCTGCTGTTTTTCGCGGATCAGTAAAATCTACGCGAATTTGAATAATTCCGTATACGTGCTCAATGCAATGAAGATTCGTGCATTTAATATCGAGAAAATGTGCCTGACATATCAACAGTATTTAAATTATATTAAGTGTCATTTAATAGTGTACATACAGAATAAAATAGAAGCACGCAACTGTCATACGGATTATTTGGATGCAACACATCAGCAACACGTTAACTTTGGTCTTTTTATGTAAATATGTGGTACACGTTATCATTTCTACCAATCAGAATTGTCTTCTCCGTCAATCCATGTACTTACACTTTTTAAACACGCATGATTATGAAATCAAAATTTACATTTTGTACTTTTCCAAATCTACATTACAGTCCTCTTTACTGTGTTCACTTCTTATCTCATTTGGAATAATGGGTCTAAGCCACCACAGATTTAGAAACTACTAATGTCTGATGACCTAATTTACATATTTTGATATAATTTGCATAACTAATGAGGTAAAATAAATAAACACACACTTGGAATGTAGAATTCACGACATTAGTCTGTACATATGACATATTACATATCATTAATCCACTGATTACATTGCTATTTGAACGCGCTATATTTAATGAACGATAGATTGTTTGTTTATGTAAATTAGCATTTTCAGTAATTATAGAATTTCTGAATAATATATGGAAGCACTAACATAACTAATTTGTCGGAAATATTCACGCATGTTTTGTATAAATATTAGCTCATGCTAATTTGAATTATAAAGATTAATATTTTATTCAAAAATTCGAAAATTATCAATCTATTGAAGTGTTTTCACGTCAAAAGTTCAAAAATAATTTTGAATTTTTTTGAGATAAAAAAATGCTTTTCTTTCGAAAATGAATTTTATTTTAAGAATCACAAAAGTAAGTCTCGACAATCCTCAGTTGAACTTTCTAAATTGTATTAATTTACCGATTATTGTAATTGTTATCATGTGCGACCCTTTCCTCCTCCTCCCCAAACCCGACTTTGATTCGAAAGACAGAATATTACTCGTAGTGGTTTAAACTAATGGGAATGGTTGTAGACAAAACGGATGAACAATCCTCTGCAGATCGAACGTCGTTTCCTTTTTTATAACTCACAATTACTCTAACAGACAATGATGTATTAAGTAAATGGGTTTCATCGTCAAACGCACTCTGTCAGCGCCTACTGGGAAATTATTTCCATTACAATACGAGCTGAGAACATGAACAAATTGCTATATCACCTTGTCGCAGTTTCCATCCATCGTTAAATATCGAACAACTGCACCCACCACTTCAAATGTACCGTTGATGACCGATAATACGGGGATAGCGTAAAGTGTTCGCATAAGATATATTATTCTACTACACCCCTGGGAGTCAGATATGTTATAGGTATGGCCGTAGAACAGTTTTTGTTTCTATTTTGATGTGTGGAAATATCCTAAGTCCGCCATTATATATCAACTGGAGATAACGAGTCAATAAGTTCACAGCTGGGCATTCTTCTATATCGCCATATCGTGTTTTAATCTACCGAAGCGAATTTGCGATTTCTTTTTAAAGCACACTTTAGTATTCAAA